TAATAACACCAATACTACTGCTACTCCTAATGCTACACCTAATACTACTCCTAATAGCAATACTACTGCTACTCCTAATACGAATACCACCAATACTACTCCTAATAGTAACACTGCTCCTAATTGTAATACCAATACTACTGCTACCCCTAATACTACCCCTAATAGCAATAATCCCAATACTACTGCTACTCCCAATACTACTCCCAATAGTAATAACACCAATACTACTGCTACCCCTAATACTACCCCTAATACTACTCCTAATAGTAATAATACAAATAGCACTGCTACTCCTAATAGCAATACCACCAATACCACTCCTGATAGTAACACTACCCCTAATAGTAATAATACCAACACTACTGCTACTCCTAATACTACACCTAATCTACACGTAATACTACTTCTACTCCTAATAGGAATACCACCAATACTACTCCTAATGGTAACAATACTACCAATACTACTCCTGATAGTAACACTACTCCTAATAGTAATACCAATACTACTGCTACCCCTAATGCTACCGCTAATACTACACCTAATAGCAATAATACCAATACTACTGCTACTCCAATTCCTAATAGCATTACCACCAATACTACTCCTGGTAGTAACACTACTCCTAATTGTAATACCGATACTACTGCTACCCCTAATACTACCCCTAATAGCAATAATCCCAATACTACTGCTACTCCCAATACAACTCCCAATACAACTCCCAATACTACTCCTAATAGTAATAATACCAATACTACTGCTACTCCAAATAGCAATACCACCAATACTACTCCTCGTAGTAACACTACTCCTAATTGTAATGCCAATACGACTGCTACCCCTAATACTACCCCAATACTACCCCTAATAGCAATAATACCAATACTACTGCTACTCCCAATACTACTCCCAATAATACTGCTACTCCTAATACTACTCCTAATAGCAATAATACCAATACTACTGCTACTCCTAATAGGAATACCACTAATACTACTCCTAATAGCAGCATTACTCCTAATTGTAATACCACTACTACTGCTACTCCTAATACTAATCCTAATACTACTCCCAATACTACCCCTAATACTAATAATACCAATACTACTGCTACTCCTAATAGGAATACCACCAGTACTACTCCTAATAGTAACACTACTCCTAATTGTAATACCAATACTACTGTTACTCCCAATACTACTCCCAATAGTAATAACCCCAATACTACTACTACTCCTAATACTACATCTAATAACAATAATACTAATACTACTGCTACTCCTAATGCTACTCCTAATACTACTCCCCATACTACCCCTAATAGTAATAATACCAATACTACTCCTGATAGTAACACTACTCCTGATAGTAATACCAATACTACTGCTACTCCTAATGCTACTCCTAATAGTAACAATACCAAATGCTACTCGTGATAGTAAGGCTACTCCTGATAGCAATAATACCAATACTACTGCTGCTCCTAATATTACTCTTAACAGTAATAATGCCAATACCACTCCTAGTAGTAACCCTACTCCTAGTGGTAACACTTCTGCTGAGAGAGCAGGAAAAGGGCGATCAAACGTGGACACGAAGCAACAGGGGAACGGCTCCAAGGCCCCCGGTTCACGTGGAAGCACCAAACTACCTGGGAGGAGGCAAAAGGGCGGTGGTTGCGGTTCCCGAAACCGAAAACCCCGCTCTGCTACGGCCCCAAATCCCCCCCAGAAAATGGGAAAAGGCCCCGGCGGCCAAAACCCAAGCGGGAAGAAGCAGCGGGGTCCCCTCGCGCCGCCTTTTGCCTTGGGGAAAGGAGGAAAACGCCCCCAAAATTCAACCTCACGCGCCCTACGGGGGACACGTTACAACAGAAACACCCCCTCAAAAACATCACCGCACTCTGCACGCCCCCAGACTGAAAATAACGCACAGTTTCTACTAAAAAATCGACTTTATGAGGGATTCTAAGCCCAAATCCCCGCGTTTTTTGGGCTCTCCCAGCAAAGCCGCCTCCTTCGGCGCCAAAACATTTTTGGGGTCTGAAATTTCACCCCGGAAATGATTTGTTTTATTGAAATGCTGGGGGGAAAAGCGACGGGTCCGCTGGATTTTACGAGAAAGAGAGGAGAACGGGGATCGTGCGCTGTCGGGGCGCTGGGTTTCTCCCCCAAGCCCCAAATCGCCGAGTATTTTGGAAGAGAAACGCGGGAATCGGTGCAAATGTTGGGGTTGTTGAGGAAAACCAGCACGGATTTGTTTCAAAGCTGCTCGTGCCTTCAGCCTCCGTCCTCCTCCTGGGAGATCGGGGCTTAAAGTTCAACGAATTGTGGCTCAGGAACCCAAAAAGGGTCCGGGTTTGAGGCAGGGGGCGCGTGGATCATTTAAATCGGAATAAAATAACGAAGCTGCTCCATTTTGGTGTCTGTTTGTCCGTGAAATCCGGTCGTGACAACCAAAGAAGTTCAGCAGCAGCGGCTGGGACAGAGACTTCACCGAAATTATCGTCATTTTGATGGGAAAGTGATGTGGTTTGGGGACAATCTGGGGAAAAGGAGAAATTCCTGTGAAATTTGGGGAAAATCTGGGGAAAATGGAGAAAGTCCTGTGAAATTCAGGAAAAATCTGGGAAAGATGGAGACATTCCTGTGAAATTTGGGGGAAAATTTGGGGAAAAAATGGAGAAATTCCTGTGAAATTTGGGGGAAATGGAAAAATTCCTGTGAAATTCAGGGAAAATTGAGAAACTCCTGCGAAACTCGGGGAAAATGGAAAAATCCCTCCGAAATTCGGGAAAAATGGAGAAATTCCTGTGAAACTTGGGGAACATCTGGGAAAAATTGAGAAATCCCTGCGAAATTCGGGAAAAATGGAGAAATTCCTGTGAAATTCAGGAAAAATCTGGGGAAAATGGAGAAATTCCTGTGAAACTCGGGGAAAATCTGGGAAAAATGGAGAAATTCCTGTGAAACTCGGGGAGAATCTGGGGAAAATGGAGAAATTCCTGTGAAACTTGGGGAAAAATCTGGGGAAAATGGAGAAATTCCTGCGAAATCTGGGGAAAATGGAGAAATTCCTGTGAAATT